GGCCATCGCCTCGGCCGGCGGCTCGGCGCGCTCCGCGTGCAGGTGCGGCTGGGGCGAGGGAGGCGGGGGCGTTGGGGTCGCCCGGGTCACATTTTCTAACCCACGGCTCCCCGGCTCTCCGCGTGTGTGGCCGGCCCCGCCCCCGGCCCGCCCTCACTCGGTGGCCCGCGTTGGCCCTGGCCTGCGCCGAGCGTCCGAATCGGCTGGTTCCGACCCAAGGCTGCCGGGAGCGCGGCGCGGTGACAGCTTGAAGCTCCGCCAGATGCTGAGCGCCAGTGTGGCCTCCTCTCCCGGGCTTTGATGGGGAAACGTGCCGCTTTGTGCGGACGCGTCCATCAGCAAGGATGCCCCGCCCCCATTTCCTCCGAAGGGTGCCTGTCTAGACCACTTAGGCCTGCGAGGTGGGAGAGTAAGAGACCCACCCCGGGGCGACAGTGCGGAGAGCTCCAGAAAAAACTCACAGAAGGAAGCCCAGTTTTCCTCCTTCCGTTTCCAAACCTGGGGGCATTTTCAGAAACTTCTTGGGAGCAGCCTTCAAGGCCTTACATCCCTCCGACAGAAAGATGACTTATGTGTCTAGAAGTTTCGTCCTGCTCTGCTTTGCTCCGTGCGACGCCTGCGCCCAGAGCCAGCCGGGTACTACCCAGAAGAGAGGCCCAGATGGTTTTGTGTGAAACTCCCAAAGGACTTAGGCAGCAAGATTGAAGCTAAATCTTTTATGAGCCATGAACCCGGGGACAGCTGTACAAATAGTTGCTGTGTTTAATTAAACCTAATATGGCCACTTCCTTAACTTGGAAAAAAGGACTGGCAATTGTATGCTTTCATAGATTGGAAGCCATGGGTGTGGGATCACACTGGAGAAAAAAGAAGACATTTGAGGGGAACGGTCCCTCAAAGAGTCCCGGGGAATCATGGCTTCTGCTTTCTTACTGTAAAGAAAACCACTGAATAATCTCGCACAGCCCAGTAAAGCAGGGGTAATGGTGCAGGCCCCGTGACAGACTGGAGGGCCCTGGCAAACCCGGAAGATGGGATTTCATTCTTCCTTTTGAAGTCAGACTCCACCTTTGGAGCTGTGGCATAAGATCTGGGGAGGCCTTTACGTGGAAAAGCCACTCCAGTGAGTCCGTTAAGTATGAAAGGGTGATCATAAGCGATGTGGAGAGGGACATGGGGTCCTTTAAGGTTTCTTTAACTCTGGGACAGTATGACCCCAAATGATCCTCCCAACACTCCAGCAAAGGTTTCTTCTCTTTCTCAGTGTTTTCTTCGCCTATGAAAACATATCTGAATGCCAAGGTAAAGAGAACCTTTCTTAAACAAAAACGAGTATGTTCACACTAATTACATCTAAGTAAAAATGCATGTCTGCTCATTGACAGAGAGGAAATTACTTAGGAGGGAAGTAAATAGTTTAATGTTGATTAGATTCTCTTGCCATGAAGTTACTTAGGTTCATAATAAAAAATAGAAAGAGGAGTTTTTCTCTCTTGTTTTTTTGAATCCTCAAATGCTGAAGTCCATTAGGTTCAACAGAGACTAACCAGCAATAGCAAAAACTAACCCCTAATTTTCAGAGAGTATGTCAGATCTCCAGGGCTGCTCCTCTTTCCAGATACACAGGAAATCCAGTTTCATGGGCTAACCCTTCCACTATCAAATGGCTGACTGCAAAACTTTCTTGACAGATGGAATTCCAGCCAACAGCAAAATTGAAATCACTAGACACAGCCTGACCTGAGGCCCCACTGTTCTACATACCAGGCTGTCTCCGAGTCATGAGACCAACTGAACTTCAGGGGGTATGAGAGAAAGAGCCAGAAAACCTTGGTGCCTGAGGGATGGTATATGCTGCTTAAATAGGACCTGCTTTTTCTAGTATCCTTAGGGAGTCCTGGATCATTCTGCAACTCAATGCTTTGCCTGTCTTGGCCATGGGTCACACTGTCCTTTGCTATGACCTCAAAATGGCTCATGTTTCAAAAGCTGGAGATATAAGACCCTAACTAAAAAACAGTTTTCATAGCACATCTACCTTTGGTCTAACACACCTCCAAAGTACGTCTGCTGGGCTACCAGACCAAGTCACACATTCCCTACTCCCTACTCACTCTACTCACAATTTAAGGCAACCATGTAATAAAAGGTACATTGAAAAGGACAAAGTACTGGACATCTGATAATTTTGTTTTAAAACATCTGTTTCACTGTTTCATAGAAACCTGTCCTCATTTCTCAGTGGATATTCCTCTTCCTGCATACTCAGTCCAGAAGTCAGATGGGATGAAGCCATCTCACTACAGAAGGGGACTGGTTCGTCTAGGCTGAAGCCAATCACACATCACATTTCCACAGTGTTTGATAAGGAACGGGCTCATGATCCAGCTAGAGCCAATGGGACAGTATCATTAGGATGCTTTCAGTTGGATATACTGTCAAAGAGAAAACAATAGAATGCCAAGGTAAAGAGAAGAAAAAGCATACAGGACAAAGAAAGTGTAGGCCAAGAGATAAAACAGCAAAAATGGTCAAATCTCCTTTTAACAAGAAAACAGAAAATTCAATCAGTAAGAATAATTTATGGTCTCACATAACAAGAAGTCCAAAAGCAAGGCGACTTTAGGGTTGGTTAATGTAGCTGCACAACAATGTCATCAAAGACAAAAATGGTCCTTCCATCTTTCTGCTACATGATCCCCTGCACATCACCTTTGTCCTTGGTCTTCAGAACAGTTCTCATATGGCCCCTAGATAGCTGCAGTGGCTGCTGACGTCATGTCTAGTCAACATATAGAAGAAGAGGCAATCTCTTCCATTGTGTTTCTTTTCAAGAGGAAGAAGACATTTCCCAAAAGCCTTCAGCTGACTTCCTCTCTGACCTCCTGGGCCGGAATTGTGTCATATGTTCCTGCCTAATCAATCATGGTCAAGAGGAAAAGGACCACCATAAGAGTCTTAGGTGAACCAGAAATCAATCTAGGAACTGGTCCTGGATCTAGCCTCCCTTGAAGCATTTGGTGGCAGGGAAGATAAAGAATACTTGATATAAATCAAGGTTTTGTTACCAAGCCACGCCCATAGCAGCACAGCAAAATGAAACTTTTGCAGAGGTATCTGGGTTAAAAAAAAAAAAGTCAGATTTCCAAGGCTGCTCCTCTTTCTGGATTCACAGTAACTCCAGTTTCATGAGGCGACCACTTCCACTATCAAATGGCTGACTGCAATGACCCCTGTGCAAATGAAGCCGAGAAAATAGAAATTCTGGAGCCTCTGCGGTTATCTTATGAGTTTGTGGGGGAGAGCCCACCTATGAATGAGCCAACACTCATTGAGAGAAAACACTCATGAGAGAAAAGCCAGCAGATATGTATAGAGAGAAACCAATGGCCTTATAGCACCATTTGAGCCTCACATTTAGCAGCATGAGAAGGCACACTCACCTTTGAGCTTTTCAGTTGCACAAGCCAATAAAGCCTCTTTTTTTTTTTTTTTTTTTTGAGCCACTTTGGATTGGGTTTAATGCCTTTTGCAAACAGAAAGAGTCACATCTGAAGCAAAAAGCATGACATATGTGACAGGAAAGATAGCTTATTAATGGAGTGACCCTGTGACCCGATGCCCCTTAGGCAAATCTCGGCTAAAAGGTCCCTCCAACCAACTATTACCAGCAATGCTTTTGTTATTCATCTAGTCTTCTTACCATTTCAACAATTGTGGGAAAGGTCTTTGAGCAACTCCCGACATTTCTGACTATTGATGGGAGCATTTAAAAATGAACACTGGAAACATTCAGGACCCTGTGTGACGGTGGGATGGAAAATGAAAGGGAGTAGAGAACCTTGTGACATGACAAGCAGTTTTCCACCTGTGAATGGACAAGGTGGAATGTTGTTAGATAAACAAATATTCTGGCATCTCTATTAATCCAAAGTTTCCTTTGCCACATGAGCAAAAGACACAAGTTCCTATGTGGAACCGTGCAGACGCTGGGCACAGTGAGAACAGAAGGGAGCTGGCAGAAGATACAGCTGTGTGGAGCCTTCCTCACAGCTCTTGGCACAGCCCAGACACATTTGAGCCCTGCTTATATTCTTTGGCACTTTTTCCCAAAAAGGATCCAAGAGAATTCCAGAAATGGAGTGGCTAACCTTCATCGCACCCTGGTGGAGTTCATAGGTGGGGGCAAAACTAAACATGTCCAAAGAGACCAAAGAGTTGTTATTCTTGAATGAAAATTATGATTGAGGAGAAACAGATGCTAAAGAGATGTACCAAGATAAGAAAATGTACTGTAAAAGAGAAAACAATGGAGCTAGGAAAAGGTGAGGCCCAAGAAAAAGCACAAAAGATCAAATTCCGTTTTTTAAACATACAATTGTCCTGTTTGAATATGCCAAGTAATAAAAACAAATGCACATGCTGTTCTAACTTTGGCCTAAACATTTGATTTGATTTTAGTGGGGGGAAAAAAGATGCACTACTGCCTCGAAACCTCCAAATTGCCAAAAACAATTGTTTCCATAGGAAAATGTGTTTTCACGACATTATATATGTGCTGCCTCTCCAGATCCTAGGATGCTGATAAAACTGTGACGCTTAACAAAGCTAGTGAGGAAAAATAGGGAAGCATGGGCAAAGGGAGAGAAGACAGAAGTTAATAATGTTGAATCCCACCTGGCAGCCCAGACATAACTTGATGTACATTTGTCCCTTTGCGGTGTGTCTCCTGAACACAAAATGCAATTCTTTCGGTACATATAAATCATTTCACTTTACTCCTAATAATTAGCTATTTGGTTTCATCTTAGTAACCAGTTAGTTTATTTCCAACAGAAATTCTTGATATTGGCAGACAAAAGATCAAAAGTAGATTTTAGAAGAGTTGATATAATGATATAATTTTTTCTAATTATTGTAGCATGGTAGATTATCTTTTTCTTTCTTTTTATTTTTTTATTTTTTTATTTTGAGGCAGAGTCTTACTCTGTTGCCTAGGCTATAGTCACAGCTCATCATGGACTCAACCTCCTGGGCTCAGGCAATCCTCCCACCTCAGCCTCCCAAGTAGCTGGGACTGCAGGCACACACTAACACACTCGGCAAATTTTTGCACTTTTTGTAGAGACAAGGTCTCGCTATGTTTTCCAGGCTGATCTCAGACTCATGGGCTCAAACAAGTCTCCTGCCTCAGCCTCCCAAAGTGCTGGGATAACAGACAAGTCATTGTGCACAGCCTATTTTGTTTTTAGGGGTGACAGGACGCCATGGATTTTCATTCTGCCTACACGTAATTTCAACAGGACAACATTGCTGGATCTTTCCCTTCATGTCTGATTATAAAATCTACCCTGTGATGAGCTTTCCCTTGGAGGAAAAATTTTAAAACTGCTTGGTTTCCTAAACTATTTTGATTATCTGTGTAGATATAGCTTATAGTATTGAAATGAGAAAAATTTAAAAAAAGTAATACTGATAAAAAATGGGGAAAGAGAGAAATGTATGAAG